GGTGGTTCATTACCATGTAAGGTTAAAGTCCACAGAACCCAGCTGCGATGAAATCCGTCATTTTATTTATTTGGACCGACGCTGGTTTCTAACGTTTGATTCGGACATCAGCTCGGCCGTGGCGTTCAGCCAATGACGGGAGAGCACCTACCAGCCTGAGCTGCGCTCCGACTCCCACATATTGTAGAATAGGTTATGTAAAAAAATAAAAAAAGTCTTCTGCGTGCAGGTCTGTGTGTGTGTGTGTGCAAAAGTTTGAGTGCGTGGGCAGAGAAGCCACTCTCAGACGACAAGGACAAATGTAGGTAACGCTGTCGACAGAATCCCAGAGTTCAATCCTCCAGCCAGTGAGGAGGGGGGGGTTGAAGTAACAGCAGGAGCTGTTGTACTACACCGGCTGCTTCTTCACTGATGATGAAGAATTTTCTGGAAAGCTGATTCATTCACTTCACCTGTAGATTCTCAGAAACAGAAACGTTGTTTTTTTTCTTGTTTTTTTTTTTATCTTCGATGACCCGAGTGTTTTCAGAAATCTGTTTTCAGGCCGTGTTTTTATTATTTCCACTTGTGTTACAGGTTGACTCATGTCACACACACATACACACACACAGTTGTTTACCACTGCAGAGAGCTACAGTACCAGAAAGGTTGTGAAAGCACAGATTGTGTCAGAAGCCAGCAGGGAATCAGGCCGGGAGTAAACACACCGCACGGAGTCAGCGTTTTATTTGGAGCCACACGGTGGTGGAGCGGTTACAGTTGTCGACCCAGATTCAGCTGTGAGTGGAGTTTTCTTTGGGACCTCCAGCTTTTTTTTTTTTTTTTTTTTTCCTGCCACTGACAGACGGGGTTTGAGTTGAGGTTAATGACCGTGAACACCTGCTCCAGACGGCTGACGCTGGTTCTACTGGTTCTACTGGTTCTACTGGTTCTACTGGTCTGTCCTTCACACTGAGAGGCAGCTGAAAACTTTAAAAGTATTTGTTGGTACTGCAGGTCACGGAGGGTGATAATTTTAGAACGGTGAATCAATTTGGTGTCGGTTTCCGTGCAGTATCTGATTAAGGTCGGCTGATTTCAGCACCTCACTTTGGACAGCTCCATCAGCACCTCTCGATGGAATCAAAGAAATACCTGTACCTGCCGGAGTGTAAAAAAATTAAGTGAAGTACTCAGTACTTGTGTTTGTTTTGTGAATGAAAATTAATGTTAAAATGATGCTAAAATGAAAACGTTGTTGCTGAAAATGAAGAAAAAAAAAGCAGGTGAATTGGAACTGTGTTCATCATATCAGCTGCTGATTTAAATCTTTGAAGATACTGTTTAAAAACAGCCGACAGTTGCATTTTTGAGAAGTTGCATTTTTCAAATTGGCCTCCAGGGGGGGCATGGCACTTAGTACTGCAGCAAGAAGATCATGGGTTTGTCGGGTTTGGATAAAACATGGACAACAACATGTGGAAAAATCTCCTTTTTTGTCTATATATATAACAGGATAACAGTCAAAGATGGTGGATACACAAGTGATGCATTGTGGGATGCGTGTTGCTAAAGGCTGTTGTGTTGGTGGTCTGTTCTACTGCAGGAATTTCTCATTTCATTCCAGTTGTCATTCCTGGTTTCTCTCCGTGTTTCTCTCACACGACCACAGACTCGGCCACTCTAACATTGCGTCTGGACCACATGGGGCCTGTGAGCCGCCATTTGGATACGATCGCTGTAGGGGAAAAACTCCCGAGCCCTTGAAGGGAAGCTTTTATGTGGAGTTCAGTCTTTGGATCCTGTGAGCAGATCAAAGTAGAACGTGTGTTTATGTCTTAGTGTCTTTGTTTGTGGTGAAGTTGAAACA